TGCTACATGTGACTTATACTAATATACATAAATATATATATATATATATATATATATATATATATATATATATATATATATATATATATATATATATATATATATATAGACACACACACACACACACACACACACACATATATATAATGTTTAACCGACAATTATTAGCCTATTTCTCTTACTCACAATTCTACAACACTTGCTCCTTTGAAGCCCTCTGGATCTGTGTGATGCCACCATGGCTGCACATGATGTACTCTCCCCTGGGTATCAAGGGCAACACTCTGGCGGATTAACCATTCCAAATCATGGAATTGTGACTCCCATGCATCCTGCATCTGGTTCCTGTTCTGTGTTGCAAGGATCCTCCAATATGATGCTTGGCAACAACTTTTCATCATCACCTGGTTCTCTCAATTCCTCTGTCAGGTAGTAAGCTGTTAAGTGCTATAAAAGTTTTCGTTTGATTCTGGTTTTCTTTTTTTAATTGAGATATGTTTTTCTGCGTGCCTTCTAGTAGGGATGGTAGATATGGTGTTCCTAGATCTGCATCATTATCACCCAATGAACAGCAAAGGATGCAACAATATAGTCAAATGATACCCGGTAGAAATATGCCGCAACCCAATGTCTCTGCTCCGGGAGCTCTTCCAGCAACTGAGCGTGGTGCTCGTATTATTCCTTCTGGCAATAGCATGGGCTTAGGGTCCGGTGTTAATAGAAGCATGCCAATAGCAAGACCTGGGTTCCAAGGAATTTCTTCACCATCGCTTGTTAATTCCGGGAGTATGGTTTCCCCTGTTATGTCGTCGGGTAATATGCACTCTGGAGTTGGTGGCTCTGGTCAAGGAGCGATGTTGAGACCTCGTGACGCTTTGCACATGACGCGGGTATGTATTTATCAATTTTGAATCTTCTGGTAATTGGTCTTTATCCTCCCAATGTTTTGGAAAAATATATTGATAACAGACACTGCCACATCATATGCAATGCCCTGTTGATACAACTACACATATAATGCATGTTTTAAGCATATGTTTTGTAGTGTATAGCATTTTTCCCGTTTTGCCCTGCAGTTTTCTCTTGCAATACGAGTCTTCTGTTGTTGCAGTTTGACACTAATATATATTGCCGGGTTAAGATGGTGTTTTGAGGGTGGATTTCGCTCTATTTGACGCTTTAGTAACCTATTGTATTTCTAACTGGAAAAGGCTTGATGAAGAAATAGTAGGTTGTAGTGATATTGACTGTTAGCAAGTTATTGATGATCATGGATGTTCAGTTCTTCATGGATGAACAGTTTTGGTGGTCCTTAGCTGATTCTATTCAGCGAGGATAAGTCAATGATTGAAAATTATTACTGAACATTCCTTAGTTACAACAAAAGTGAACTTATTACTGAACATTCCATATGAAATTTTGCATCAACTCCGGAAGATTGTTATCTTTACCAAGAAACATTTACTGACTTAGGTTCAACACGAAGTTTATTTTCCGAATTGTACCGTCTGTTCCTAAAAGGCAAAGTTAGATTTTTTGATCTATTTTTATTATTTTATGCATCCCTCCATATATTTCATAGTAGCATTCGTCTTTGCTTCAAATTATTAATCTAGTTTTCTGGTTTTGTAGCCTGGGCCAAGTCAGGATTCGCAGAAGCAAATGATGGTCTCTGACCCAGTGAACAACCAATCTCACTTTGGTGGGTCGAGTTCCCCTTTTCCTAATGCTTCATCACCAGTGACATCACACCCTCTCCATCACCAGCAGTCCCATCCAGTATCTCCGCAGCAGCCTCAAGTTCCCAATCCTCATCATCCACATTTTCAAGGACCAGCAAATCATGCACCCAACGCCCAGCAACAAGCCTATGCACTTCGCTTGGCTAAAGAGAGGCAGCAACATCGACTTCTGCAGCAACAGCAGCAGCAACAGCAACAGCAATATGGTGCATCAAGTTCTTTGATGCCACATATACAGTCGCAGCCTCAAATTCCTTTATCTTCTCCTGTGCAAAGTGGTTCACAACTTCAACCCCAAGCAGGTTCTTCGCCAGCATCACTTTCTCCATTGGCTTCTTCGATGAATTCAACGCCACAGAATCAGCAGAAGCCTCAAGCCCCAACTCGGGGAGTTGTAAGGAATGCCCAACAACCTGGTGGCAGTGGGTTAACCAATCAGGCAAGCAAGCAGCGGCAAAAGCAGGTTTCACAAGCTAACAGGCAACACCCTCAGCAGCGGCAGCAGCCACAAGGTGGTCAACAGCCAACAAAAGTTGTGAAAGGCGCTGGGAGAGGCAACACAGCGATGCACCAGAAAATCCCAATTGATCCCTCCCTAGTGAATGGGGTTTCTACAAATCCAGGGAATCAGTTTCCACAGAAAGGGGAAGCAGCCACACATTCAACGCAAAATCAGGGCTTATATACTGGTTCAGCACTCAATGCTGTGCAACCAACAAGGCAGCATATTTCTTCTCAATCTAATCAGTCCATGCCTCAGCAAAAAATCAATTCTGCCTCATCCACTAAACATCCGCACCAGATGAGTCACTCTGATAATGGCAGTCAGGCTTCTGGCCATCAGTCTGTTTCATCTTCGGCCGTAGCTGGTTCAAACCACCAACATGCATTATCTCACCCAAAGTTAGCGAATAGAAAACATTTACTTCTTCAGAGAGTGGTTCCGTCAAATCACCAGATAAATTCTGATCCATCAAATAAACCACAAGTAAGAGATTCCGATTCTGATCAGCACCTAACAACCAGCTCTACTGAGGTGGATCCAATGGTAACATTGCCTCAAGCCACTAGTAATACAACTACCGCGGTACAGTCTGTCTCTCCGGCCAGTGCTCCTCAGTGGCATGCTTCAGAACCATTTTTTGAACCAAATACACTAAATCCAGCAGCAAATGTGTCAATGCCCAACTCTAGTGAGTCTTCTCCGCAAGGGAGCCAAGGGCGTGGACAGAGACTATCATCAGCCAGTGTACCCTCCATTAGGCATGATGTTAGTGCACAATGGCAAAAGCAGCCATCACAACTGCAAAATCCTAACTCACCAGTGACCCAGCAACAGCAGCAGCAGCAGCAGCAGCCGCCGCCGCCGCTACATTCTCAGCAGCAGCAGCAGCAGCAGCAGCTTCTACAAGCAGGGAGTGGCAATTTGTACAGTAGGCCTACTGACCATAGATTGGAATGAAGATTAGCCAACAGATTGTGTGGTGATTGATTGGTGCTGTCCATGTCTGTCAGCATATTCTCGGGACAGCATTGTACAGGTTAGTCATATCTTATTGTGTTCTTGTAGCTGCCATATCGATATGTTTAATTAGTTCCATATTTTTAAAGGTTCAATCGGACATGAGATCTGCTTTAGCTTCTAGCCCCTGAAACTTAATTATATGTATGAAGAAAGGATTGCTGGCATTATTGCAATCTAGTTCTCCACAAACCGGAAAAAGAACAGATGGGAATATGTTACAGGGATTGTGGTGGTCGGGAAAGTGGGTTTGTGAAATCTGTACTTAAACCCAAACGTGAGAAGATCCAATGGATGAAATCAGCTAGACCCACTTGATAACTTAAAAAATCTGGAGGGAAAAGAAATCAAATATCATTATGACTTTCTAAATATGAGAAGGGGCATTAAAAAATGTCTTGCCGATGTACCAAAAGAGTTATTCCTTCTTGCAAAGGAAACAACCACTTTGAAAAGCAATTCAAGTGGTGCGGACCAACCTGGGGACCCTTTGACCAGCCTATTATTTTCTACTTTCCGGTTTTACTTGCACCTGTTTGGCTTGTATCACATTGTAGTCGCTTATCTTTGATTTTTCATTGGCATTTCTTTGAACTATACTCTCTTTAATTTATATATTATTGTGCTAATTATTACTTGCACCTTTTTTCAGTGAAGCCGCGGATATGTAAGGGAGCAGAATATGACATGTTGGCAAATTTTAACAGTTGCCTACAAATTGTGAAGAGGGATTTTGGGTGGTTCAAAATTTTGTGAAGATTGTATATTAGAATTGCCCTGAGGAGGCTTCGGGAAAAAGATAGAGACAGATAGTAGAGGTAGGTGTACAGGATCTCATCTCTCCTTTCGTTCCTTTCTCTTTGTGCCCCTCATTGTTTACATGCTCGTTTGAGGGGGCAATATTTGCTTTTCGCCTTCATAGATCCGTCATGTTTTGTCGCCTGTATCTTAAGAGGGTTTAGTTCTTATTGATATGGCCGAAGGCTGTGAAATTTTTGTGAATATTAATTAGCCTTGTTGTGTATACACTAGTCAATATCATCAAAATAGGGTTCATCGACGCTTTTTGACCTGTATGTTATGTATTATGTTCTCAGAGAATTTTTAGAGATTCGAACGACAGGAAATCAATATCAGAAACTCATCTAACCCTAGTTCACATAACCAGAGGGCTTAATTTGTCAGTCGCACGATGTTCTGCGTGCGTGTTTAACTTTTGTTTGGCCTTTTTGTCTCTTGATTTTTTTTTTTGTGTTTTTTAGAAGAAATTGACTAATACTTGTTCTTGAGACCTGGACAATATGCAATTTGGGATTTGAAAAATAAAGATTTTATTAAATAATATTAAAATTACAAAACACCCTTGATAATGGTCTAAAATTTAATGAAGAAACCAAAAAAAAAAAAAAAAAAAAAAAAAAACAGTCTTAACTGCTGCAATCTCTTGCCAAGAACAACTATAAAAAAAGACAACATATTCTACTCTGTTGAAACAACATCGTCCGCTTTCTTACCATCACGCTTCCTCGTTGCTATCTTTATAATATAGTAGTGATCGTCACAAATAGTTTTGTCTAGATTTTTGAAGAAGGCGATCTTTTCTCCGTTCCTCAAGTTGTGCGCCGCAACAAATTCTCTCCATTCGCCACCTAGTTTGTAACACACTTTCCCTCCGTATGTGCATTGCGATAACAGCATTTCCCATCGCCTGTCCACTTCATCGAATACTACAAGACCCCTTGGATGCAATCTGCTATTTTGAGGGTTACCCACAATCTTCAGATGCTTGATAATCGTGCTTGCTTCGTATTCGTCGAGGTACAGCCTGGCGCTTTCTGGATTCACCGCATGTTCATTTAACGTCTTCTTAAAGCAGTATCTATGTAGGAAACATAGTAACATTAAGGTTATTGTGGCATATTTTTTTTTCTTTTTTTTTTTGGTTATACAGATTTCAGAATCAAGCAGAACCACTAACCTAAGAATTCATCAAGAAAATACAAGGCTTGAATAAAGATACTTATTGACAGTTCAAAGAACAACAATCGATGAGAAAAGAAAAACAAAGCGACCATAAGAATACTAATTAATTTTTGTAACAAAGCCCTATTTCAAAGAAAATTAAAACCCCATCCAAAAATCCAAAACAACATGAAACATATGCATATTCTCGATATACAGTAGAACCTCGATAAGTTAATACTCGATAAATTAATAACCTCGCTTAAATAATAGTTTCTTCTGGCCCCGACTCGGTAAAAACCCACTAGATTATTTGTTCGATAATTTAATCTTTTGCTAAATTAATAGAATTCTGCTAGTCCCGACTCTATTAATTTATAGAGGTTTAACTGTATTATATTTCTCGACTCTTGCATTTCGTCTATCAAGAAACTATGGATAAACAATGTTAATGGAAAAGCTAATGAGATTATCGGAATACCTAGAACCTGCCCCAGTAGGCGGGATTTTCTGCTGTGGGATTTGATCTTCAAGCTCGGAATCTTGGTTTTTGTTGGATGGTGCACTATTCTTCTCCAGCGGGATTTCATCATCTTCCAGCTCTGAAAACTTGTGTTTTTTTGACGGTAAAGTGAAGCCAGAGCCATCTGACCTGTTTTCTTGATAGGCAGCCATAGTTTGATAATCGCCAGAACCCAATTCTTGGTTTCCGGTGCTTGATTCGCCAATTCTCCGTCTTTCCTTTGCTTGCTCCTCCAATCTTGAAGCGTTTCTTGTTTTTGCCATTTTCTCGATTTTCTTGAAAGTATAGCAACTTATTTATATGTCAGACTAATGTAATGATGTTAATTTATATAGGCACAATGACCTTCATCAGCAACTCCTTTTGCAATGCAATGCATCAAATTACCTCAACTAATAGTGTGAATCGATATACACGATGCCGTATTACATGTGCTCAGATTGCAAAACTTCGCTTAAATATAGTAACAAAAAAGCCTCTTAGAATTGACAAGATTTCATATTTAATGAACACGCAACCATTGTTTTTACGGCGTGATTTAATTCTCCTACTTTCTTGCTTTGTTTCACACTATAAAACATTGAAAGCATATCCATTTAAAACACGAGGAAGTTATGAACACTAGAAATGCAAAACGAGTTCAAGCGGAAGGCCGAAATGAACATGCATACACACACTTGCGCACTTGAGAACAAATAAGTATCAGAATTAGATTACCATAAAACTGTCGCTTCTTCCGAGAAAAAACCCAACTACAAACCTGAATAAGTTAATACATCAACGAGCCACTATTATTCCGAGGAGCCAAAAAACACGTAGCCTTCAACTTTCGTGAGCCATCTTCGATTTCTTATTCGCCCCAAATGCACTACCAATCAAATTGAGAATCTTTTTCTGCCCTTCAAGAATCATAGCTATCCTCTTCTTTTCCATCTCCATCCAATGAATCCCCGTTTTCCGCATCATCTCAATCTTTCTATTCTCCATTTCCATAAACTTCTCGGCGACACCCCTAATTCCCTCCGCCAATTTCATTCCTCCATCACCTTCTTCCACTTGCTCCTCCACCTGCAGCTCTTCGTCCACATCATCATCCACGTCATCACAATACTGCTTCCGTTTCCCATTCGTTACATTCCTCAACCCTCTCACAACCCTACTGCCCTCGCCATTAAAATCCTGCTCCACGGCTACTCTCTTTCCATCCCGATGCACAATGTTATTAATACTCTTCGACTTATTTTTCTTGGCTGCCGCCGCATTCCATTCCTCATCACTGTCGTCCGATCCACCGACATCGCTCTGATTGTTATTATTGTTAAAACAATAATCGACCGAACCCGAATACGAACCGCCGTAACTATGATTGACATTGTTACTGTTGTTGTAAGAATTACTCTTAAAGGCGGAAATTGGGCATGCACTGAGTGGCATGGGCCCCCGTCTCATATGATCCATGAGCTCGAAATACGGCCACGAATTAGGGTTCGGCTTCTGCAATTCGGAGCGGTACCGTTTACGGAGCTTCTCGATTTTGTGGCGGCACTGGGTGGAGGTTCTGGTGGGCTCATCGAAGCCGCAGCGGGCGGCGACGGTGACGGAGAGTTCCTCCCACTGGAAGGATTTGAGCTGCCCTTTTTTGAGAGAGTACCATTTTTCCTGATAGGCTTGAATTAGGGCTAGGGTTTCGTCGTGGGACCAGGGAAAAGCTGCTGATTTTTTAGGAGTGGAGGTTGATTTGGATGATGTGGGGATGGATTCAGGGTTTGGTGAGAGGGGGTATGATTGGGGTGGTGGGGGAGATGACGGCGGCGAAGCCATCGCGGTGTGAAGGTGGAGGTGGACGGCGGCGGTGTTTGATTAGTTAGTGGTGGTTGATCGGTTGTGCGGGCTGCGGAGGTTTAAATGAGCCGGAGAAAATTGGAAGGCATCTTTTAGGTAAAATAAAACACTTCCAATTAGAATTAAGTACATTTTTTTTTAATAAACACAAAATTTCATTAGTTATAAATCAATTTTTTTTTTATTTTTGATAAATGAGTGATATAACCTTTCTTTCTTGTGTTGATAAATAATTTAAAATTCTAATTTAAGGTCAGCTTCATTCATCAACCAGTGCGTTGACCCGACTTTTAGGTCTTATTTTTTTGTCTAGAATTTTAAATAAAACAAATTTGATTTAAACCAAACCTAAATAGCTATTGATGTCTTAAAGTTCTTACTAATTAACTTATTAACAAAACATCGATAAAATTATGGATAAATTCCATTTTCCCGTTGGCTCGATATCACTTTATCAAATTCTACTTTCAATTGCATTGATTTGCCCCTTGTACTTTGGCTCGATATTACCTTACCCCCTTCTACTCTTAATTGCATCGATTTGCTCCCTTGTAGTTTGGCTCGATATCACTTTACATCATTCTACTCTTAATTGCATCGATTTGACCCCATGTACTTCAAAAATTATCTAAATGTCGCCCTCGCCGTTGTTTTCACACATTGAAAAGTATTAAAAAGTCACCCCTCACAGTTTAAATAATTATTAAAAAAAAAATAAAAAAACAGAAAATAAAATAATAAAAAATTCAAGACAACGAGAAAATATAGTCCACGACGTCACCCACAATTTTTTGTTTTATTTTTTTTAATAATTATTTAAACTGGGAGGGATGGTTTTTTTTGTAAATTTCAAACTTAGATCAAACGGTATCTAAGTCAAATGTGTGAAAACTAAAGGGCGAGAGCCACGACAATTTTTCAAGTACATGGGGCAAATCAACATTAGTATTTCTTACGTTGCGTTTCTAACTTTCATATATTTAAAAACCTAATTCCATTGATATACATACATACACAATTCCAAAACCCACGCGCCACCTACAAACTCCAAAGAGGATGGTAAATCTTCCTTTCGACATGGTAGAAATCATCCTGTCGAAATTATCAATCGAATCTCTTGTTCGATTCAAATCAGTTTGCAAGTCATGGAACAATTTGATCTCCGATCCTACATTCGTTCGAAACGATCAGACTCAACGATCCAAGGAACCGAACTCGGAGAAGCTTTTTCTACTCAAGAACTTACTGAGTGGCTATTCTCTGGTTAAATTCAAAGGTTGAAGCCTTAAAACCCTACGAGTTGAAATGGAAGCCCCATATTACCGAGATCATGCCCTATGCTTTTGCGACGGATTGCTTCTCTTAGAAGGCTCGTATAAGAGAGTTACGCTGTGGAATCCATCAACTCGAACAAGTATAAGTCTTACGATCCCGTACGATAAGTTCGATCTTTGTCACGGGCTTTGTCGTGATCCGATCACCGACGATTTTAAGGTTGTTATTTTGTCCAAGAAACACTACGCGGTGTATTCTTGTAAGAACGAATCTTGGAAGAAGAAGATATAGAATATGATAGCGGCGTTGGGTACTATGATCCCGGATACTTTTGTGATTTTGGCCCGAAGGGAGTCCACACAAATAATGTACTTCGATCCGAGAGACGACAAGTTCAAGTTCTTGCACAAGCCAGATAATATTAACTCGGACGAGGACAAAACTTATTACTCGATTAGATCGAGCCTGGATGACAAAAGGCCGATTTTCTTATTTGAATCGAGAGGGCGTCTGTGCATGTATTGCAACTTTATAGACAAAACGAGGATTCGGATATGGAGGAAGGGAAAGGGTATCGACAATCATTCTTGGAAGAAGTTGATGACTATTACGAATGTGGAGACTTCAATTAAGTCGTTTGTGCCGCAATGTTTTGTCGGAAATAAGCTTGTGATTCGAATAAGAGGGAAAAAATATAGAAATAAAGATGATCGATTAGTGGTGTACAACACTTGTAAGAAGAGGTTTAAAGAATTTAAAAAAACGAAGCCGGTTTTTGGCATTGGGTTGGTTCCGTATATCGAAACTCTGTACTTCCCCATCGAGAATACGGAATCGGGGAGGAAGAGGAAACGAGAGTGATTACAACGATAGAGTATTTATTAATTAGCATTTCATATAGTCTTTGGCTCATGTTTCGTTTGCTTGAACAATGTTGGAGATTTACTATTTGATAATTCCCTCGCTAACAACTTAAAAGCTTTTTTTATATTCATTCGTTTTTGTTTCGTTTATTGTAGATTGATGTAGTTAACTTATTGTCGTTCCATGTTTGCTTTTGCTTATTGATATGTTGCTTAGAGCCTACGTCTGATAAACTTTTAAGAGCTGATAAATTGTTACTACTAAATCATACATACTCATGTAAATGATATACTCTGATGTTTTATATGCAGGCCAAGTTGAATGGCCAGTGCATTGCGTCTAGAGTCACATTATAAGTTTTTTTAAACAGCTTATAAACTTAACCAAACACCCTCTTAATCAATGCGTACTTGGGTTTTGATAAAGTTATCGAGTAACAAATAATTGACATACTAGTACTACTGCGTACATCCTCGAATTCATTAGCAATAATAGTTGGTAATCAATTGATCAATTAATTTTTCTAGATTCGTCTACAAGATTTTTAAAGTTGTGAATATATTACATAAAAGAATTTATGGTCCCGAATTCGTATTATACAGAGATGTTATCTGAAATGTTGTGACACTTGAGACAACATGCAGCGGAAATATAAAGATTAAAAGACAGTACTCAGAATTAAAAATGTTCACAAGTAAAGACTTGTGAACTTGCCCTTTACAGGACGGAAAAATATATTAAAATCAGTATTCCAAGAATACAAACAGAAGAGTGCGAAAACTTCTTCCTTATGAGTGAATCTTTTTCAAGATCACTCTTACAACCAAATCTAGATACTAAAAGAAAAATATTAAAAATTCTAGATTTCAAAGAATGTACTCGTGAGGAGTACGTAAAGAACTTATGAATGAATCACTATCTTGATCATTCTTACAACCAAGTCTAGAAACATATATACTATACAATCTAGACTACAAAGAATGTACTTATGAGAAGTACGTAAAGAATGTACTCATAAGGAGTACGTAAAGATTGTACTCATGAGGAGTACAAACGACCGATTCTAAAACCACTCTAAAACTCTCGTGAATATTCTTCAGCCCTCGGTTTTTATTTCGTAGAATCGATAATCTTCCTTGAGTATTGAAGTCGGTATTTATAGGCATTCCAAGCATCCACTCCTCAGCCCATGATCTGCAAGAAAACCAACTACAAGAGCACTCAAGAACATGGGTTAGTGGGTTAGTGGGTTAGTTTAAGGAGTTAGAATAATATTCACAATTAAACCCACTTAAGCACTACTTAGCCCACTAAGCACTATACTTAACCCACTAAGCACTATTTATTCCATAACTAAAATTTAGTTTAAAAAATAAGAAAGTTAAAAACACAATGTGGAAATAATCCACGTGTTTCAAACTCCCCCTTTTTAACTTTCTGATCAAAACTAAATTTTAGCTTAACTCCCCCTGAGTCATTGCTTGAACTCCCCCTGAATTTGACAACCAACATTAACATAAAAGTTCAGAGGAAAAAAAAATAACAACAGAACAAAACCAAATATTGTTCATAAAAAATATCAGCTGCTGCTCCTTCATCACTGAACAAAACAAAACAGAACAATATCCAAAGTCTCCTCAGTATCAGCTGCTGCTTTCCTCTGCTCCTTCTTCATTAACTCCTTGCTTTCTGCCTCTGGCATCCAAGAGATGAGAAGTCCCTGCTTCAGCTTCATGACTAGCTTTTTCTCCCCATTTTTGATCAGAAAGAGTTTTTTCGAAGCATTTCCACCGTGGACTGGTGATAGGTAATCTGAGCTAGAGAATGAGTAAGCTGTTGTAGCAAGAGATCTCTAGGAACAGAAACAAGAATGTCAGGGATGTTGTCAACATGAGGAGAAACACCTTCAGTACCAAGATTATTTTGACCTGATTCAGTTGAGAGGAAATTATCTCCATTCCAGGGAAATCCTTGGACATGAGGAGCTTTGAGAAAATTTTGAAAAATAATTATCATGCCAAGTGTGAGAAAGCAGAATGGAGTAGATGAGAGAAGAATTTAAAAACGATTGCCAAAAAATAGTTTTACAAACCTTAGTAAAATCACCATAATTATCTTCATCAATCACAATAGGAGTTTGTAAATGAGGGTTGATAATTTTGGGAGAAAAAGAGAAAATTGATTCGCACAAAAAAAAACTTTTCCAAAGTTTGGAGAATTTTTCTTTAAAAAAGAGGTTTGTAAATTGGCATAAAATTCCTTCACAACAGAGGGATCATAAGGACAGACAATCTCAACTAGACTAAGGATTTTTCTTTGATCAAGAAAATCAGTAATCCTATGTCTATTAAACTCATCCTTGGAAATTTTCTTCTCCTTAATGAATTGGCAATTCATGATTTGAATCAGATTCAAAATAAAAGGTTGTACTGAAAGTATTGTTTACCTCAAAAGGAGTTGACAGATCATTCCCATTCAATTTCAGCTCTTCTTCCTCAGAAGATTCCTCTTCTTCTGAGTCTTCAAGTTCGCCTGGGATGTATGCTGGCTCAGGTGATGCAACACGTGAAGCAGCATCTTCTTCCATCTGAGATGAGACCTCGGAAGAATCACTGTCTGACTCTGAGGATGGCAAATTCTTGCGGAAAGAGGCAAGGGCGCTTCCCAACTGTCATCACTTTTCTTTTCCTCTTCAGCCTGGGAAGGTGCTGTATCTGCTTGAACTGCTGCTTCTGCCAGGGTTTCCAGGGGGTCAGCATGAGGAACTGATGGAGTTTCTTCAGTAGTGGTGAACTCCTGAGCATCAACAATGGGAATGTCAACATGCTCTGCAGAAGACATCCCAGAAAAATCAGGCATTTCTTCATCCTGATAGGGAGCAGCATCCTCAGCAGCATTCTGAGGAACATTTGTTGAAGCAGTGGGTGCAGCAGCATCTTCTGGAACAGGTGCAGCAACACCTTCATGAACAGGTGCAACAACACCTTCATGAACAGAATGTAGAGAGGCTGCTGTTGCCATGCTAGGCTGTGATGTCTCCCCCTGAGTTGATGCTGGGAGAGGTGAGTTGTTGGATGATGACTCGGAGGAGCTGGAGGACAAGGCTTGAGCCTGTGGTGCAGCAAAGGTAGGATCCCCTGCTTCATCATCAGTTTCTTCATCCACCAAATGAAGACCTCTTCGTGGGTTTGGCCGAACTGGAGTGCGGCCACCTCTGCCTCCTCTTCTTCCACCTCTGCTTCTTCTTCTGGGAGAGTGTTCACCCCTCCGGCGTTGTGACCCAGCAGTATTCAGATCTGGAAAGGGGTTCATGCGCTTGGACCGGCGAGTTGGAAATCTTCCGGCAGTGGAAGAGGGACCCACAAAATCGAAGTTGTCTGGGTCAATCGGGTTCAGCTCGTCGCCGGGCTCAATGTAGCTGATATGAAGAGCATCAAGGTTGACCGGATGAATGATGATGGCCAGATTTGGGTCTGCTGGTTCAGGTGCTGCAGCATCGTTGTGGACATCATCTTCGGCTGGAAGGGGATTTCTAGGTGGAGATGCCATGATACAGTAGATAAAAATTTCTTCTTTGTGCTTTTGATTTGAAAGTGTGAATTTTTGAAAAAGAAGCACGAAATTTATAAGCCCTAATTTGCAGAAAAACATTGAAGTGGAGAAGGTGAAGAAGTGGTGTGCGTTTTTCTTGGAGAAAGTGTGATTGAGGAGAATAAAGGTTTATTTGGCAGTTTAAAGCAAAACGTGACACATGGCACAATAAGGAGTGGACTTAGTGGAAAATGAAAGACTAACCCATGTACCCCATGACCCATATAAATAGTGATAATTCAAAAATAAATAAAATAAATATAGTAGTACTCACGAAATTTTCACAAAAATAAGAAACACATTTATTAATGATTAATAGTGTGAGAAAAATTGGCTAAGAGGCATAGATATTATTAAGTATATAATAATATTTTTTTTTTTTTTTTTTTTTTTTAAACTCTTATTTTCAAGTCAAACAATTCACATGGAACATGATCAAGTGTTCAGTTTGAAGGTTCCTCAGTTACTAAGATATGACTATCAAAATAGAGGAGTTTGACTTATGTGAGTGTAATTATTCTCTGAAATGTTTACATGAAGCATGATCACGTTTCAAGGTGAAAGACTTTCAGTTACTTATTTAGAGAATAATCCATCACAGTGAAGCCTTTATTTAAAGAAGCTAAGCTTCAATAAATTATGTTGCAGCTTAAGATATTTAATGAGGTGCTGCAACATTTTTCAGGACATGTTTATTGAGTACACATCCCGAGAGATTTTCTAAGTTTAGAAAACCTCTCATAATCTAATGCCTTTGTAAAGATGTCAGCCAACTGATCTTCTGTAGGAATGTACTTTAAGCACACTATATTTTTCTCAACTATATCACGAATAAA